AATAAACGTAAATAAGCTAGTCAGCAAGTCCAGTCAGGTTGGGATTTGATATAAAACACAAAAGGTCCCTCAAATTCCAGCCCCAAATCCTGTTTCATTTTGTTTTCCCCTGTAGGTAAATCATGTGTGAGTCCTGGAGAACTCCTCTATGGCTCTGTCCTCACACCCATGGGTATCGTGTTTGAGTCAACAATTACATTTTCTTGTAATCAAGGGTGAGTTGGCAGATGATATCTCCAGAGCACTGGGGTTTCACAGCAGCCTTCCAAGAGAGATCTGAGTAATTGGCACCTACTCTTCCAAATAGATAAGCAGAAAAAGAATCACCTACCTGAATTGCTCTCTAGACTACCTTTCAGGATTATTTACTGGAGAGGATCCCTAGAAAATAAAATGGCACCTGAGCTACTCCCCTATCTTCCAATTTTAAATCTCTAGTGTTACTGACAAGAAGGTAACTTTTGTTTGGCTTTAGATTCTTTAGCCTTTTGTATGAGTCCTTAGTCTATCACTGCTATTTTTCATACTTGGTTTTCCGTGTTTTTGCCATTCTTTCAGTGGACAAAGAATTAAGCTTTCCTAAAATGTACATGTAGCTGGGAGATGATCACTCATCTCTTTGTCTTTAGATATCGACTCATTGGTGAATCATCTGCTACATGTGTTATCTCACACAACAATATTCTAATCTGGAATAGGGACATGCCTGTTTGTGAACGTGAGTAAAATGATCCCTGTATTGCACCCTATGTAATTCTGCTTATAGCCTTCTAGAAGGAAATGAGGCATCTGCATATCAAAATGAGTACCCAGGAAAGTTATAGTTGGTTTGGGAAGTTCTGGGCACACAGGAGTGGTTTGTTTATATACTTCTAATCCCTCCTATTCCTACCACACTTTCCCTTGATGATAAGTTATTTTATAGTGAATAAGGGTAAAAATCTAAAATATGCTATGAGATTACAGACGGTCAAGTTTATACCATGCACAATGCAGGTCATCCCAGGTGCCTCCTACAACAGTTTATCTGCATTTTGGGGATGAGATCTACTGATAGGATCATAGCTTTGTGTTTTGTTTTGGTGAAGGTGGTGGTGGTAGGGTGTGTGTGTCTGTGTGTTGTTGTTGGTTTTTTGTTTGTTTGTTTGTTTGTTTTTTGATGATTCATTAGGGAAGATTCATGTATCTTCCTACCCTTTTCCTCTTATTTATAACCATCTTTGAGATAAGTATACACAATTTTAAAAATGGGTTAATTGTAGGTTGAATTAGAGTTCGTTTTGCAAGACTGAAGACAAAATTCCTAGAAGATATAACATTAAAATGTCTTCTTTCTTTTCCCACCTAACCCCAAAAAAGCTATTCCTTGTAAGTCACCCCCAGACATCTACAATGGGGAATTTTCTGGCAGAAGTACAGATAACTTTTACTATGGAATGGTGGTGACTTATTGGTGCCGTGTTGGACCGAATGGGAAAAAGCTCTTTGACCTCGTGGGTGAGAAGTCAATATATTGCACCAGCAAAGACAATCAAGTTGGCACCTGGAGCAGCCCTCCTCCTCAGTGTATTGAGTTAGTCAAATGCCCATTTCCAGAAGTTGAAAATGGAATTATGGAATCTGGATTTAGTCGTTCATTTTCCTTAAATGATACTGTGGTGTTTAAGTGTAAGCCTGGCTTTACTATGAAAGGCAGCAGCAAGGCTTGGTGCCGACCAAACAATAAATGGGATCCTCCACTGCCAAGTTGCTTCAAGGGTGAGTTGGACTGAACATTCAGTCATCTATAAGTGAAATGAGACCTTTGATTGAATAGATGGCACAGTAGCTATGAGAAAAGTAGTAGAGGTGCTTGGATATTCTTGTTAAAGAATTTAGTGTTGAGGACAAATATGTGATACCTTAATTAATAAAGAAATTTAAAAAAAGAATTTGAAAGTAAACTTTGAAAGTAACATCTTAATGTTGAAGAGGTAGGAAATTTACCATATTTTGGAACAGTGTAGGGGAATTTAGATGCTGAAAGAAAGAAAGAAAGAAAGAAAGAAAGAAAGAAAGAAAGAAAGAAAGAAGATAGAGCAGAGCCAAGGATCAGAGATTTTTCTAAAACATATGATTAAATTTTATTTAAGTTGGGATAAATAAATTCTCAATCTTATTGGCCATGAGGTTGGGAGAAGTTTGCTAGTGTCTGTATTTGACTCAGACTGTAGACATTATACATTCTCATATTGGATAACGTAGCCTTTATGAGGTTAGAATTAAGATTGAGTCTCTTCCCTCATTCTTCCTTTCTCCCCTGCTCTTTCTGAGAAATGTGTAACTTATCCAAACTAAAAGGACAACATTTGGAACCCCTCTTACAAGACTCAGAACCTTTATCAACTTGGTTTGGGGAGCAGGAAAATTGAGATCAATTTTGGTAGTGATTGTGTATTACCAGAGTTTGAATCTCTTGATTACAATATTAGTGAGAGGATGACCAGGTCATTTTAGTCAAATGAAGTAGAAAATGATGAGGAATGTAATGTTTCCTAGTACATATCCAGAGACAAAGCAGGTGGCTGTATACTTCATCATGTCTAAAAAGAGAAATGCATATTAGCCCCCTCCATCTCACCAAAGGTGTCTCCCCTTTACATTGGGGAGAGTTGACAGGACCATCTTCATCCCATCCCTGCCAACAACAAGTTGGCTTAGGTTGTAGAGAAGAAAGTTCTTATTTCAGAAATAAAAAGCCTCTGGTCCTGCTCTTTTCTCAGGGTGTCTACCACCTCCACATGTCCACCACGGTAATTATAATGAAATGGATAAGGAATTCTTTGCAATTGGACAGGAAGTGTCCTACAGCTGTGAGCCTGGCTACACTCTCATTGGAGCTAATCCTATACAGTGTACATCCTTGGGAACCTGGAGCCATACAGCCCCCAATTGTAAAGGTGCCTAAAGCTCTATTCCATCTTAAGGGAACTCTACTATTAACTAACTCTTTGTGAGCTAGCCTTGTTTCTTTTCTTTTCCCCCTAGTGAAATCATGTGATGCCATCCCAAACCAACTTCTCAATGGCCAGGTGGTGGCTCCTCCAAATCTCCAGCTTGGGGCAAAAGTTTCTTTTGTTTGTGATGAGGGGTGAGTGTGGGTTGACAGGGTCTGGATTGAGACCATGACTCGTAGCTAAGCATTGCAAAATGTGATTTGTAAAGACAGTTACTGGTTTTTCATTTCCTGTCTTAGCCTTTCCCTTTTATGACTAAGAATTCTCATTCTCTTATTAACCAAACCTTACTGGTTTTCTTCAAGTGTATGTATTGTGCATGGCCAGCCCAAACTGGGAATTACCCACTTATCAATTGGAAAAGCAAAGTTTGGGGTCACAATTTCAGGACCCTCTTTTGGAGATGCATAGATAATAGGGGTTTAGTAAGTGGGGCTCTTTGGATGATATCTCTTTTACTTTGAACCTGCGGTTGTTTTCATTCTACATGGTCAAGAGATCTTGACATTTGGGTACCAAAGAGAAAAGGGATAACTTTTTAAAAAATATGTGATCATTAGGATATTTTTCTATGTGTTTTCACCTGGTCTTAAGTCTTCACCTGGTCTGATTCACAAACAATGTTGGACTTTTTCCTTAAACCTTAAATGCTGAAAATAATAGAGCTAATTTATATCACTTACGTGAGAGACGTGATTAAAGCCATGCAACCGAGAACTGGTTTGTTCTGATGATTTGCTGCCCCTTATTGTTTAAGGTACCGTTTAAATGGCAAATCTTCTAGTCAGTGTGTCTCTGAAGGAATGAGAGTACTCTGGAATAATAAGTTTCCTGTCTGTGAACGTGAGTAGAAGCAAAAATAAGTATGAATCTCGCCTCTTAAATTTTGGTGTGTTCTCATGCATTCATCAGTTATAACATCTTATCCATATGTATACTTTGAACATGTACATGCCACTCTTTGGTATGTTCTACCATGCAGACCAAGACTGAATTTATTCAATTGACTACATCTTGTTTTGAGTCTTCTATTTATATTAAGGTAAAGGCTCTTATCTCACTGGAACTGAGCAGCACTGCAGTGCTGAAATGGTGTGGTGTGTGTCCTTATCCCAGTTCCTCTACTGATGAGCAGCTCTTGGAGCTAAATGTAAATCAACCAGCAGTTCTGGAGATTGGCACTTTTCCATTTGTTCTGAGGCTCACTCAGGAGAGGTGTGCATATACCAACACAGCTATAAAAAATTAACAATATGACAAGTATTTTAAGAATATGAGATCATTATTCCAAACTCTTGATCACTTCCTGTGGCTTTTTCAGAGGGATTCAGCATCAAAGGATGAGAAATGGCTGTAATGAGGTTGCAGTCTCTTTAGTAGAGGGCAGAATGTACTTCCACCACTTGTTGCCCCCACTGTGTGTTTGAAATAGGCATCTGATAATTTGTATGCTTCAGGTATTTGTTCTTGTTCCTTTCAGGTACTTGCATCTCTCTGACTTCTCATTTCAAGTAGCTTAATTTATACAATAGACTAAGAAACTGAGGCTTAGAGAACATAAGACTTGCCTAAGGTCACTCAGCTTTTCAAAAACAGTGGGAATTTGAAACCAGGTTTGAGTTTATATTTCATTAGTCCATGGTACCTCCCCACATGTGATTATCATGTTATTAACATATTATTTTCACAGCTGTTTAACGTTAGTTTTATTAAAATTGATTAGATTCAGAATTATTTAATAAATTCTCTTTCATTATTATTGTTTGGTCAAGATGGTACTTTTAAGTCCTATATTGATTTTTTTTGCTGAGGATCAAGAGAAAGGTAAGAATTTAGGAGCTTGGGGATAAGTAGGGACTCTGAGTCTCTAAGAAATAAATTATACAGATTTCTAAGTCTGTTTCTGGTAAAGTGACATACACTGTATTTGGAGCTTTAATCTACATCTGAATTTTTCTCTTGTTATAATCAATATTACCACATATTTCCTTTTCTATTTTTCAGGGATTTCTTGTGACCCTCCTCCTCCTATCCAAAATGGTCGGAATAGTTACACTTCTGGCCCCATACCTCTGAACACTTTGGTGAGGTACAGTTGTGCCAATACCCACCGCATGATTGGAGAAAAGAATCTTTTTTGTATAAGTAAAGACCAAGTGAAAGGAATCTGGGATAAAGCTGCTCCTACATGTGAATATTATAGAAAAATTTTTTGCTCTGAGCCTAGAGTGGCAGGGGGACACAAAGATAAAATGTCTAGACCGCCATACAGACATGGTGATTCTGTGACCTTCACCTGTAATGCCAACTTCACCATGAAAGGAAATAAGACTGTTTGGTGCCAAGCAAATAGCAGGTGGGGGCCGACACCACTACCAACCTGTGAGAGTGGTGAGTAGTCAACATCAAGGGAGTGTGGATCTTTGCATTTCTCTGCAGATAATGTTTTGTTTCATTCTGAGCAAAGAACAGTGTCAATGTGCAAAGGGTAGGGGTGAAGGAGGAAGCAAAGCAAAGGGTGAAAATTATTGTTCCCTGTTTTTATTTTTATTCACCAAGGATATGGATGTTCATTTAACAAACATTAGTAGAACAGAAAAAAATCTTAAAATATGATGAGAAAAAGTAATTGAACTGAATGAGTCTCACAAGATTGAGGGTGAGACTTTGATGGTGCTGTGTGAATTGTGTGGTTTTAAACTATATATGTGAGTTAATGTTAAAATGAGAAGAAATATACTGAATGTTTTAGAACTCACCTGTAAATAGATATTCAAATGGTTTGGCAGAAATGCCTGTTCTATGAGACCTCTATAAACACTTTCTGACGTGATACACTACTGTGCCAAGTCATCTCTCAGAAATAACATTTCAAATCAAATGACTTTGAAAGTAAGGATTACTATGAGTTCTTTTACTTATTTTTTACTTAGGTTTATGTTGTTGCAGAAATCTAAATCTGAATTTTAATTATACAATTACAGGGACTGTCATATTTGACTATTATAATCAAAAGTAGGTATTTATTTTCTTAGTAAAGCACAATATCAATTGATGAAGCTGAAAATTTTTTATTAGAAAAATATGATTCTATGTATTTGTAGGTAGATACATAATCTTGGAGGTAAAGAAGATGTGAAGGTAGTCACAATATGAGTGACTATAGAAAATAAGCCATTCTAAAGATTTAGGTTGACCTATATGTGTCAACATGGGAAGATAACATAAATAGATTATTAAGCAAAGAAAGACATAGAATAAGATGTGAGTACTCATATAATCACCCAATATGTATGTATATAAGTAACACATGTGGGATCCTATATAGTACTAATATCTAGCAGGATAACCCCCTAATAATATGCAACTTTTGGACTAGAGAGTAGGATGAGAGTATTTGTGAAAATGGACTATTTTTTTGTAAATTAAAATTTTCACAAAATCATAAAGAATAACTGAAAGTGGTAAATAATGAGCTATATGGTGTATAAAATGGATATTACATCACACTTGTTTTAAAGAATGAGTTGAAAGTTTATGATGACTGGTTACCACAGATAATGTGTCATTTAGTTGGATGAATGTTCTATGTCAGAATCTCCATTGTGAAGGATGTGTCATCTGATGGCCTTTTCTTCTAATGTGTGTGTGTAAAGATTTCCCCCTGGAGTGTCCACCACTTCCCATGATTCCCAATGGACATCACACAGCAGAGGATGTTGGCCTTTTTGTCCCTGGACTGTCTGTGACTTACAGCTGTGAACCTGGCTACTTGCTTGTTGGAGAAAAGATCATTCGTTGTTTGTCTTCAGGAGACTGGAGTGCAGTCATCCCACAATGTAAAGGTATCCCAAATTTACAATCAATTTTCAGAAACTAGGCTATTCTGTTATTGGCCCTGCATTGAGCATCTTTGGCTTGTTTCCATAGAGGCACAGTGTGATGCTCCGGGACCATTGCTAAATGGGCAGATAAAGGGGCCTGCAAGTCGACGGGTTGGCGTGACTGTGACCTTTTCCTGTAATGAAGGGTGAGTGTCCGGAGGACCTAGGAGATGTAACTCTCGGGCTTCTCCATGCATGCTATGACCTGTGAAAGCTCCTCTGTGAGGATCTGATAGAGCCCGGGGTGAAGTTATGAGAAAGAATGCTAATAAGAGTTGATGCACACAACTGAGTTTGTATGGAGCTTTAAGTAGAGATTATTGATCCATATCAGCAGCTGTTTAATAGTTCTGAATGACCACCCTCTCTCTCCAGATATCGATTACAAGGCCAACCTTCTAGTCAGTGTGTAATTGTTGGACAGAGAGCTTTATGGACCAAGATGCCAACATGTGAAGGTAGGTTATGCGAACTGTGGTTTGAACCTAGTTACTTATCTGAGGCTCAACAGGGCACTTTTAGCTAAAAGATTTTGATTCAGTCATCACTTTACACAACCTTATAGAGCCAATATCTCTCCTAGACATCTTTAAGGGTTATAACTGAAGCATCCTTCAGTTACCTCTCTATTCTCTGCTTATTCAAGTAAAACAGACTTCCTAGGCTCTTCTTTCTCTAGAGCTAAGTAGACTTGTAAGCCAGGCCAGGCACATAAATGAGCTAGCATATTCAGTAATGGAAATCCAAGGATCAGCAAGATATACTTTCTTATATTGTTACTAGAGGCCTGGTGCATGAATGTGTGCATGGGTGGGGTCCCTAGGCCTGGCTGGCAACCAGGGCCAATCAGGGCCATCTAACCCAGTCCCAATCAGGGCCTGCTGGCCAGGGGGAGAAATGGAGAGAGGGACCACGGGAGGTTGGCCAGCCATGGGAGGTTGGCTGTGGGAGTGCACTGACCATGAGGGGGCAGTTGAGTCATAGAGACCCATCATTCCAGTCATTCTGTTGTTCAGTCATAACGTTCACTTAGGCTTTTATATAAAGAGATAGCTGCCTTGATGGTTCATTAGCAATTCAAATATTCTAGGTCCCTGAACCTAGGAGATGAGAATGGCATTTCAAATCTGAGGGTTTCTTGTGTGTAGTACAGCTCAACCTTGTCATTTCTCTCTCATTTCTCTAGAAATCCTTTGCCCACCACCTCCTCCTCTTCTCAGTGGAAGTCATACAGGAAACCCTTCAATGAATTTTCCATACGGAAGCACAGTCACTTACACTTGTGACCCAGGCCCAGAGATAGGAGTGGACTTCATCCTGATTGGGAAGAACACTATCCGTTGTACCAGTGATAGTCAGAAGACTGGCATCTGGAGTGGTACTGCCCCACGCTGTGAACTTTCTACTCCTGCAATTCATTGTCCACCTCCCCAGATCCCAAGAGGCAAAATATTGTATGGGAAGAAAGATCAATATTCATATAATGACACTGTGGTATTTGGTTGCTTGTTTGATTTCACCTTGAAAGGGAGCAATAGAACAAGGTGTAGTGGCCGAGGCACATGGGAGCCATCTGAACCAGTCTGTGAAAAGGGTGAGTGTTTCAGTACCAAGAAAAGGTTCTACTGATTTTTTGTCTTTTCTAAGACTTATAGGTAGGGACTTGGGGTGTAAGCAGGTTATTTTCCAGTTTGTAGTCGCTTCAGTTCTTCAATATGTATAGTGCTTATAAATCATGTAGAAGGCTTTTTAACACCACACCCTCCGATTGTTCATTTTGTAGAAGTGTCCTTGGGAAAAATAACATTAGGAACCACTAAGTTGCCCATTTCTTTATGGGAAAAGTGTTTGTTGTGTTAATACTGATTTCTTAAAAGGAAAGTCATCGAAGTGCCCATTCCATGGGTACATTAGAATCTCCCATTGAGAACATATGAGGTGATTCCTTAAGAAAGGATGAAATGAGTGGAGGTAAAGAACCGAGTGGAAACAGAACAAAATGTGCAGCAACCTAAGTGCAAAGAAGAGAAAAAGATCATGAAATGCTGATCTAAAATCATCCCAAGCTGGGCTGTAAGATGCTTTCTGTGTCACACAGCTGCCATCAGAGAGGAATTATAGCATTGATGTCCATTTCTTTGGCTGTTTCTCCCTGTTGCTGATATTTATTCAATAAAACATTTTTTTCCTGTAGATTGCCAAGCCCCTCCTAAAATCTTCAATGGGCAAAAGGAAGATACACACAGGATCCGCTTTGAGCCTGGAGCATCCATAAAATACAGTTGTGACCCTGGCTACATGCTGGTGGGTGAAGAATCCATACATTGTACCTCTGAGGGGGAGTGGACACCCACTGTCCCCAAGTGCAAAGGTATCAGGACTTGCATGCAGATGTTTTGTAGTTTTGAGATTGCTTGAGCTGATTTCTCATCTTAGTCTCTTTTTCTTAGTGGCAGACTGTGAGCCCATAGGAAAGTATCTCTATAAAAAACCCCAGGATCGATTCATTAGACCAGCTGTTAACTCTTCTTGCGATGAAGGGTGAGTGAGTACTGGCTCAGCCTGAACTGGGTCTGGCTTATCATTGCATACTGCAAGCTGTGTGTAAGAGTTTACCTCACAGACCCTTCCCTGGCCCATGCCCATGGGAGTGCTAATCATGCTAGCTTTCCATGTATGGGGACTAGGCCTGTGCTAAGGGTGATGGAGCTGATGCTGGCTACACTCTGTTCTTATTGCTTCTTGTCCTGAAAGTGGTGAGTCTGCTTTTGAGCTAATAGCCCTTGCTTAGTTCAATGGTCTCTAGACGGCAAAATGATGTGACTCTATCTATAGGTTCAGGTTAGGAGAGAGTGCTTATCAGCTGTGTCAAGGTGCCATTCCTTGGTTTATGGAGATTCGTCTTTGTACAGGTGAGTGACATCTATGTCTGCCCTGGGAGATTTCTCTTCTAAGCTATGTTGTGGGAATAAGAATATTAGCCTCTGTTCCAAAGACTTTGTCAAGTTTTTCTGTCTTAGTACAGTCATCCCTATCCACTTCCAAGCATAGCAACCACTTAATTTAAATGTGTTCAGTCACTGGTCCTTTTTTTATAATTTAAGTGTATAAGATGATGAAAGCATATGAGTATATAAGCCATCATGTTTAATGTGGGGTTAAGCTATAGTTTGGGGAGAAAAAAAGATTGGTGTGGGATCTGATATCTTATTCTGTATCTATGGCTTCATATGATCTTGGGTGGTTTATGTAACTTCTTTGAATTTTTAGCCCCTCATCTATAAATTCAGTTTAAGATTACAGACTTCAACGTTAATTTACTTAATGGTATTATCTCTACGTTTTAAGTTACAAAATTGTGTGTTAGTAAGTAGATACTCAATCAAGAATAAATATTCTTGGCTCAACTAATCAAATAACCTCCTCACAAGGATGAAACTAAAAAAAAAAAAAAAAAAAAAGGCTTAATTCTGTGCCTCTGTGCCTTTTATTTATCTATTGTTTATTTAAAAAGGAATTTTTGCTTTAATTAATAATTTACTACTGGCCTTTACTCCCTCGCTATATGATATTGATATACATGTTCACTTTTTTTCCTTTTTAATATTTTTATTAAATTATTATACATGTTCACTTTTAACAAAGATTTCCATTATAAAATATTTGCTATGAAACTTGCTTAAATTGAATTGTGTACACATAGGAGCTTTGCTATAACTCATATAATCAAAACTCACCCATATCCTCCAGGAAATGTGTTAACAACAGATTTATATCCAGCTTCCTTTCTCTTCTATGGTGTCTAATACTGAAACAGAATTATATAGTCACTTCTCATCTCTCCAGAAATCACCTGCCCACCGCCCCCTGTTATCTACAATGGGACACACACAGGGAGATCCTCAGAAGACTTTCCATACGGAACCACAGTCACTTACTCATGTAACCCTGGGCCAGAGGAAGGCGTAAAATTCAAGCTCATCGGGGAGAGCACCATCCGTTGTACAACCAATGATCAGGAGAGGGGCATCTGGAGTGGCCCTGCTCCTCTCTGTAAACTTTCCCTCCCTGCTGTTCAGTGCTCACATGCCCACATTGAAAATGGATACCCGATACCAGGCAAGGAAGCCCCATATGTCTACAATGACAGTGTGACAGTCAAGTGTGATGAAGGATATACTTTGAAGGGCAGCAGTGAGATCCGTTGCAAAGCCAATAATACCTGGGATCCTGAAATACCAACTTGTGAAAAAGGTAAACAGCCCAATGAGAGAAAACAAGGTATTTACTTATTATTCTCATCTCCCACACAAAACTGCACTCATGGGAAAAGTCAATAGGACACAGATTACTCTCCTATTTCTTTTATTTGTAACAATGTTCCATGTGTGTGTTGTGTATGTTCATTATGTAAATGGCTCTTGTATCCCGGATATATTCAGGGTAGATACTGAGAGGACCTATTTATAGAAGTCTAGCTCTTTCAAACGAGCAGAAAGCATTCAGTAATGAATTAGAGCTTTCTGATCCGTGGCTAAAATGCTTAAGATTGTCTGTTGTCAAATGGTGTGCTGTTAATGTTCTTGAGTATAAATCCTTCTTTTGTTGGTATTTATGTGGGAAGTTTTTTCTTCAGACTGCCAGCCACCTGCTGGGCTGCACCACGGTCGGCACACAGGTGGAAATAGGGTCCTCTTTGTCTCTGGGATGACTGTACACTACACCTGTGACCCTGGCTACTCGCTTGTGGGAAACAAATCCATTCACTGTATGCCTTCCGGAAATTGGAGCCCTTCTGCCCCTCGGTGTGAAGGTACTTTAGCTCTAGCATTGCCTTTCCCTTTGATAGCAAACATGTGTGAGTAACTCCAGCTATGTTCCTCTAGAAGCGCCATGTCAGCCTGTGGGAGAAGATGTTCAAGAGCTTCCAGCTGATTCACATGTGGTTCTAGTTAATAGATCCTGTCCGGATGGGTGAGTAGGAGATGATCCATCCAGGGAGGGTCCCCATCTGTTTAGTGCGTTAGTTCTACCCTCAGCTTGTCGTGGTGACTCTTGTTGAGGTTCCTCATTGCCACACTCACAGAGAATCTGAGGTTCCAAAAGTCTAAGTAGCATCTCTGACTTGTTAGTTCTTTTTTGACATGGAAATAGCTTTGCTGTGAGCAACTCTCATCTAAAGAAGATTGCTTAGTGGGTGAGTCAGGGATTTTAATTCCTCTGTACCGAAGTTCTTATGTAGGAGTTCCTCTGTATTTGTAGTGTGAGGAGGTGAAGTTTCAGAGACGTGATATTGGGAAAAATAATGTATTATAATCTCACTCTAGGTACGAGCTGATTGGGCATACTTTTCAGAAGTGTGAAGATGATGAGAATAGGATTTGGTTCCAAAGGATTCCACTCTGTGAAGGTAAGAGAAAAATTAAAGTTTTAAGTGAGGTGTGTAGGGGTTAGAGATGGCAGGCCCCATAAGAAGTAGCTTGTACCAATAACTACTTCAACTATCTGTGTTCTATCTCAATGTACCTGAGGTAAGAAATACCTGTCACAGTTTGGTCAGCACTCTCATTAACAAGTAAAGTTGTCAAGTAGGAACTATTTGGCATCTATCTGCTAATGTGTGTGTGTGTGTGTGTGTGTGTGTGTGTGTGTGTGTGTGTGTATCCTATCTAATAAAAGAATACTATCCAAATCAACCATAACTCTGCCACGCCCACCAGCCACAGTGAGTATGCAAATTAACCCAATCAAGATGGCTTTGGCCACAGAGCAAGCAGGAAGCTTGGTTTTTTTTGGCAATGGAGGAAGCCAAGCTTCCTGCACACCCTTCACTCAAGGCTACAAAGTTTCAATTATAGAAGATAAATAAATCCCAACAAAAATGGCTGTGGCCCGGAGCAAACAGGAGGCTTGGGTTTCCCTGGTAATGGAGAAAGCCAAGCTTCCTGTATACCCTGGCTGGCCCAGGCCTCCGCTCAAAGATAAAAAGTTTGAATTATAAAAGATAAATAAATCTCAGATCCCAGGGCTTCTTCTTGGGTCACAGGGGCATGGCTGGCCTGCAAACCACCACAGGCCCATCGCCCAGACCGTCTTACACCACAGGGGAACTCCTGCTTTTATCTGGGACATCCTTCAAGGCAAACCAGCTGGCTCCCACCTGTGCACAGGCCTCTATTCTCCTATCTAATAAAAGAGTAATATGCAAATTGACCGTCACTCCAATACACAAGATGGCTGCCCCCATGTGGACACAAGATGGCCAGCAGGAGAAGGCAGTTGGGGGTGCCTGGGCCTGCAGGGAAGGGCAGTTGGGGGGGGGGGCAGGCCTACAGGGGAGGGCAGTTAGGGGCACTCAGGCTGGCAGGGGAGCAGTTAGACGTCAATCAAGCTGGCAGGGGAGTGGTTAGTGGGTGATCAGGCTGGCAGGTAGAAGTGGTTAGGGGCAATCAGGAAGGCAGGCAGGCAAACTGTTGGGAGCGAGCAGTACTGGATTATGAGAGGGATGTCCCAGATTGGAGAGGGTGCAGGCTGGGCTGAGGGACACAACCCCCATGCACAAATTTCATGCACCAGGCCTCTAATATATATATATATTGCATGTATTTTTAGTTTTGGGTAATATAGTTGTATTTCTTATTACTTTATTTTTAAAATTTTTGGAATGAATATGTATTACTCATATAATATGAAATGTTAATAAAGCTGTTTTGATGAGAACACAATGCAGATTGTAAAGCTAAATAATTATATGGTTATGTGTCATACATGCAGTCACATAGTTTTATTTGTATCTGAAAGATGACTGTCCGCCTTGGTACATTAGCTGAAGCCGCATTTCCCAAATCTCTTCTGCAGCTATTCTCTGTCCACCTCCTCCACGGAAGATTGACAACGGGAGGCACACAGGTGTGATGGCAGAACAGTTTCTTTACGGAATGGAAATCTCTTATGAATGTGATCCCGGATTCCTTCTTCTGGGAGGGAGAAAAATGCGATGCATAAGAGATTCCAAAGGACATGGATCTTGGAGTGGATCTCCCCCACAGTGCTCAAAACCTCCTCCTGTGGCTGACTGCCCTCACCCACAAGTCAAACATGGCTACACGCTGAATAAAACTCGTTCATCGTATTCCCACAATGCCATTGTATATGTTGCCTGCAACCAGGGTTTCATCATGAATGGCAGTGACTTGATTAAGTGCCATACCAATAACAAATGGGTGCCAAGCATACCAACATGTATCAGAAAGGGTAAGTTATTTTAAGAAGTTAACTATGAGATATTTCTTAGAATAAAGAAATGGTTTTTGAATCTGCACTTGCCATTTGAGCTAAAGAAAAGCATATAAATGCTGAGACAATTATAGTGTTTTATAAGACACTTGCCTTATCCTCTCAGTAAATTCTATCCCCATACCTCCTTCCTTACTAAGTCAGTTGAGCAAAAGTACATGAAAGGATTATGGTTAACTTCCAAAGTGATGGCTTCTACAAAATTTATTATTTTTCTTAAATTTGATTAATAAAAATTCACTTATCATTTTGGGGGCAAATGTTGGCAATAATATTGCTTGATAATTTTATATTTAAGGCTATAATACCAGTTACAAAGAGAACTTTGAGTGTTCAGAGGTATGAAGCTGGTTTTCAGACCCAGTGAATTGTCTTTCTTATCATTTTAGTTATCCTTTATTTTAGTTATCATTTAGTCTTATTCTTGTCAGTGACTAGGTGACTATGTATAACAGGGACTGGAAATTAATGACCCATGAGCTGAATTCAACTTACCAGAACTGTTCTCTTTGGCCAACACAGTAGTCTCTCTTTAAGTGAAACCCATATCCAAGCCCAAGATCGATGTTGAAGCCGTGATTCAGTGAGGGCCTCCTCTGCTTTCCAGCAAGGCAACAATTGCTTGAATTGGGCTTTGGCTATCATTTGTAGAAGGGCACGTACTTTCCCCTTAGTCATATCTGGTGGCTTCACAACCTGGCTACTTGTGTGACCCTTAGACTACAACCTTTCTGCGATTTAAAGGGAAAATGAAAGAACATTATTGGCTGATAGAGCACGGTCTGCAACCATTGAAGTTTCATTATCTTACTTTTGACATTTTTCTTCAGGTCAGGCCCCATAAGAAGTAACTTATAACAGTAACTACTTCAACTAGGCACCAGCTGACTGGGTATACTTATCAGAAGTGTATACAACATACGTAGGCAGTGGAAATCTCTGTCCAGTACTGCTGGGTTTGTGTGGAATGGATATTACTAGATACCAATGGGCTGGCTTGTTGCCTGCATTCTTCCTGTATGGCTCTCACTCACAGATAGTATTGGCTATGTATTCCTCTGTACCAAATTAAAGACCCTTTTTTATTGGTGTTTAAGCCTTCATAGGATGTCAACCTCCATTTGAGATATCCAATGGGAATCATACTGGTGGTGAGAAAGCTCGATTTTCTCCTGGGATGTCAGTCGTGTACAGCTGTGACGAAGGCTACGGGCTGGTGGGAGAGGCACTCCTCATTTGCACACACGAGGGCACCTGGAGCCAACCTGCCCCTGTTTGTAAAGGTGCATTATCTATTTTGTTTTTTTATTTTTGACTCAGATCTGTCCCAAATCTATATATGCAGTTAGGTACTTTCGATTTAAAGTCACCAAATAATTGCCTCAATTAGGTAATTTAATTAAATGTATTTCTTTGGATTAATACATGTGGTTACTCTAAATACCACAGAATAAGAAAAATGACTTAGAGTGTAGTCGCTGTTGATTGATCACTTAGTATGTCATTTAAATACAGAAAATGGAAATGCTTATGTGAATTAAACAACCAAAGTGTAGATTGAAGTTACACTGTGATTATAGATATTATAAGTATGCATCTGGCAAAATGCTAATGAAAAAGCACAATGATTTTTTTCAGTGTATTTCCTTTGAGCGATGGTAGGATTATGGGTATATGTTTTTATGTTTCATTAAGCATATGGAATATGAGAATTGAGTTAATATGTAATATTTCTTGAGCACTTTTTGCTGTATGTCTGATACCTTGCACTGCATTTGGAGTGCTCTGTCATTTAATCTCTTTGAGAACTATATGAAGGTGCTCCCATTATTATTCCTATATTAGAGATGAGGTCTCAGTAGAATGAAGAGATAACTTTCCCAAAGTCACACATTAGGAAGTCCTAGAGTCAGGATTCATATTCAAAATCTCACAGTACTGACCCCTACACTGAAGATATGAAAGAAGGAAAGAGGAAGTATGTACGTGTCTAAAGAATTGGAGAGTAAGAGTCGATACTGACAAAACAGTAATTTAGAATTTGTACCCATTTAGCCCTAACAACTCATTAACATTAGCCAGCTATTGGTTAGAAACTAAAGCACAAGGAAGGAAAATAATCAGGCTTAAGTTACCTAGAGGTTATTGAAATAGATGTCTGACACTGAAAGACTCTACCTAGGTTATCATTTTGTTACTTCAAGGAAGCTGTATTTACTGAGAATGAACTAAGTTAATGGTTTCATAAAGCTTTCCAGTAAGAGCAGTATCGACTTCATTGGTAAATTAGATTCCTTTCATTTCAGAGGTAAACTGTAGCTCCCCAGAGTATATGAATGGAATCCAGAAGGGGCTGGTGTCTGGGAAAAAGTATCAGCATGGTGCAGTTGTTAATTTGGAGTGTGAAGAAGGGTATACCCTGGAAGGCAGTCCTCAGAGCCAGTGCCTGGAGGATCATGGATGGAACCCTCCCCTGGCTGTTTGCAAATCACAAGGTAAGTGCAAGGGACTTAGCTGGTACTTGTCTCACTAGAGAGAAGACAGTAAGGGGTATCCCTCAATGTTAAGGACTCCTGGATTTTAAATTGACATATAGGCCTGCAACCAGTGATACCATAGATAGATTTGAAGTTGGATGTCTAATCTAGAAGAAACAAAACTTTTTCTGAGGATGAGGGAGGTAAAGAAAGAAAGTAGAGGAGCACTAACTTAAAAGGTGCAAAACTAACATTACATTTTGTAAGAAGTTGCTGCTGTGACTTTCCTTATTGCTATATCTTGATTTATCATTGCTTAAGGATTTGACAGGGACCTCAAAAAATATGTTAACCAACCAGTTATAACACTTAATATTTGCATTCTAACCCAGAAGTCCCTGGTTATACTGAGTTTATTGGTTTTTTATTTGGTGAACTATTCCTACTTAATTAAAGTGAAAATATGTTTTAAGTCCAATGAGTTGTCATATAAAAAATGAAGGAAGAGTGGGTAGACTTAAGGTTCGGATTAATTTTTTAAGTAGAATGCGAGAGTCAGGAGTGATAACTTAGAAAGAATGTGAACTTCAGGCATTGCCATGGGTCTTTGGACTTCACGGAATCATGCAATAGACTAATATGTTCATGATTTTGGATTCTCCTTAGGCTCACTCACTCCTCTCGTTGGTGGTAAGTTCTCTTAATTACTTAAAAAATGTCTTAATGATCTTTTTTAAATAAGCAAAAATTTTGAACAGTTTTAGGTCGTTATTTTATTTTTAGCCTTATATTTTGAAATAATTTCAAACTTAAAGTTACAAAAATATTGTAATAAAAGCTTTGATATATAATTTAACTACATTTACCAATTGTTTATATTTTGCTACATCTGTTTTAACCCATATATATCTCTCTACCTACATATCGATATATCCAACACATTATTATTATCGTTGCAAAAACAATTTGAAACATCAAACCCTTTACACCTAACTACTTTAGAGGGTAGTATCTCTGTTAATTTTCACGAATTTGATCAAGTGATATATTTTTTTAAAAATTTAGATAAAATTTGAGGTCTTGTATCCTGCCTGAGTATTACTAATCTTTTTTTCTTTAATTCATAAGAAATTGATCTTTTTTGGTGTTCATGGAATTTTTAATGTGCCCTTCACATTACAAGCTGTCACTTTTGGATCAAGTTGAATAAATAATTAGAACAGCCAGTTATTCTCAGTTTTTAAGCTGAAAGTTTAGTTTACATTAACTCTTAGTCTTTAGCATGGCTTGGCAGTATAAGAATAGGCTGGCTTATTTTACAGTACAAAAACTATTTCACAACTGACAGTCAGATGTTATACAGAATTGTAGGATCCTGGTCTTCTGAGCTCCTAATTTTACCCCAGTGACTGGAATATTACTAATAAAACTGAAAGGAAAAGAAAAGTCCCACAGAGCTTGGCTAGAATCATGTGGTGAAATGCTTGCTGCTTTAGATTAAATGTGGACTCGATTGAATCAGAAACACCTTAACCCCAAGTATCATTATTTGGTAATTAAATATTTATATGGCTCAGAAAGGATAAGTATAAAAGTAACATATTCCCCTCCACTAGGAACAGGCCCCACAATCACTTCAAAACCATATAGGTCACATTTTCCTGGCATTTGATACTTGCTGTTTTGTTTTCTAGGGCTTTCTGTAGGTTTGCTATTTCTTCTCTTCTTGACTGCTGTCACCTTATACCTGCTACCAAAACACAGAAAACGGTAAGTTCAATGCATGCTGGACTAAAATTCACTAAAGGTTTCAGCTTCAACTAAATAGGGAAGCACAAGTTACCTGAAAGAATATAGCAATGTGAGAACTAGAAAGTGGCATTTTATGCAACATAGGGGAAGCCCTATCTGGCAGATCTTAATTGGTATCGGACCCATGTTTAAATAATATGCATTCAATTGACTCATTATAAAAATTCTAAAGAACAGAAAGACAAAAATCCAAGTGGAAATAAATGCAGGTATTTTGGTATGATCCATCTGATCTTTTTCTTACGTTCTTTTGTCCTTTCAAATTGAAATTTTGACATTATAATCTCTTGCCTTAATTTTTTCCCCCATTTGCAATATGTACATATTTTTGTCTTGAAATCATGCTTTCTTTTTAATTATATAATAGATTATTGTTCTGTTTCATGTATTTCTGTATTGTGGTAATTTTAGATTGCTTCTGCATTTATCTTGATAATAAAGATATGATGAACACTTTTAATAAACCTTTTCATATACATGTACTTATTTCCAGAGCATATATTTCTAGAATTTCTAGGAATAAGTGTGTGATGTTTTAAGATGCACACTAAATATTGCCAAATGACTTTCCAGAAAGTTTGTCCTAACTTGATCAAATATCAAATTATCAACATATTTGCATATTTTGTGTTTCTGGACTCCTTTTTCTGCTTCATTGATCTATTTTATCAAAATCACCTTGTATTTAAAAAGGATGGCATTCTACTCTTATAATATTTAGTAGGGCAGGAATCCCCTCGCTATAAATTTTTTATTTTAAGCAGTTTTTTCCCCCTCTATTCTCTTCTGTTTGTTCTTTCAGGTGATTTTAGATCATTTGTCATTTTCTAAAAACAGAAATGTTGTGATCGCATGTAAGTCCATAGATTAATTTGTGAGAAATTGGCATCTTTTCTGTAAAGTCCTATAATAAAGAAGCCAGTTTCATGATTTTTAAACCAGTGTTTCCTAAACTAATTGGACTACCCAACTCTTTTTTTCCCCTCCTCTCTCTCACATAATGCATTTAAAAACTCTTGGAACTAATGTTCCACTTAACAGACATTTGAGGAATCTAAGGAGGTGGTCAGGAGCTAGATCATCAAAAGCCTACTGGACATAAGGAGGAGTTAGGATGTATCCCATAGGGACTGAGGCAAGAGAAAAGTGTGTTCAGATTCGCATTTTTTAAAGAAGGGGTGGGGTTGGGCCATCAGCCGAAGCAGCAGTGGCAGGGATCCAGAGAGGGGACAGATGCAGGACGCATCTTCCCTGTGGAGAACCTAGGATTCCAGGACTGAGTGTCCTGTGGAAAGGAGGGAGAAGGGGCACAGAGAATGAGCCAAGTGGCGGTCACTTGATGGTCCCAGTGTTTCACCAAAAGAGGAGAAGGGCAGGTTTGTGGGGAAGATGATGAGTTCAGTGCTGACCTTGCCAGTTTGTGGCCCTTGTGATGTAGGACTGGAGAGAGGGGCCTGAATTCAGATAGGTGACGTTTAAATCACCATGGAAGCCTTGGCACCAAAATAGACTTAAAAGGTAACAATAGGGCTGACAACCAATTCCAAAGGACAGTGTGCTTAAAAGCCAAGAGGGAAGAACCAGTCAGAAGTAGGAGGAAAGCCAGGGGACAATTGTTGCACAGAATTCAAGGGAGAAAAAGTTCTCAAAAAATAAAATAAATAAATAGAAATGTCATTTGCATGGCTTTCCTCATAGGAAGTTAGAAGATAATTTTAGCCATGAGTAATAACAAATTTAAACAAGTAAAGAATGTGGTCTCTATCTCTTTCCTTCATGCTCCTTCCTAAATTTGCTATCAGGACCTAGCATGTGTAGGGGAATATGCAACCTTTGGGAATAATGCAACCTGAAATAATTATGTTTATGACTAGAGACCCAATGCATGAAATTGGTGCAAGGGGCTTGGCCCTGGACCCCAACCACCACCATCGTAGCAGGGGCCTCTCCCAAGGCCCCCACCCACTGTGGCTTTGTCTGAAAGGAAGGACATCTGGAAAGGACGTCTGGTCTAATTAGCATATTATGCTTTTATTATTATAGATTATTATGAAGTGTGTTAACATGATTATATTACATACCATTATTTAAGTGCCTCAATTGATATGAACCAAATGTTTATATTAAACCAAATTCCTAAGCGTCACCTTCTTGTTTTATTTCCATTTTTCTAATCAAATTCAATTTATTTTTTATAGTTGATATAGACATTTCATCTGCCTAAAGTACTTTTTGCAAATGAAATTAGGAATCACTTTAAAAAGGATGTTTTGTAACAAAATTAAAGATTTATAAAAGCCATCTAAACATTTGAAGGAGAAACTATTCCTTTTTAGGCATCTAAAATCGTTTCATGAAATCTAAATGTTAAATTGACCTAAAATTACCATTTTATAACATTCTTAATGTATCTTCCTATAATCTGACCTCATAAATACCGTAGTTAGGGGCATGCTGTAAATAATCCTAGAAGTAAGCTTTCTTTCCCAGCAATTTTGCAATATTTTATTTCAGAGTTCTACATGGTAGAACAATGACATTTTCTGGTCCTTTCCTAATTTTAGCAAAGTGGTTTTAGAAGCACAGCAAAGCACATGTGCTTTCAAAGAGGAAAAATAAAAATATTCACTTAAAATTATTTAAAGCTTTCAATGGTATATGACTATGTTTTAAACATCAGATATAAGATTTTCCTTTAAAGTTGATTTGAAGATTATGTCCCCCAAAGGCAAATCTATGATGATGTCCTAAAAAAAAATAGCTTTGATTTTATTTATTTTTCTAACAAGGAGTCAGAGTTATTAGTCATTGAGAGTCCTGAATCTAAAGTAAAGCTACGTAACAGCAACTTTTGACCAGGGCACTTGGCAACCTAGCAAATCGTTCATTTTTATGGGCCTTTCCAAAATTGAGGATTATAGTGATTATTTCATAGGTTGCTTAGGACAATAAAGTAGTATCATCCATGCCCTAGCTGGTTTGGCTCAGTGGATAGAGCATCGACCCTGTGTAATCAAGGGTCCTGGGTTTGATTCTGGTCAAGGACATATGCCCGGGTTGTGGGTTCGGTCCCCAGTAGGGGGCTTCCAGGAGGCAGCCAATCAATGATCTTCTCTCATCATTGATATTTCTATCTCTCTCTTCCTCTCTGAAATCAATAAAAATATATTTTTTAAAAAATAGTATCATCGATGAAAGTACTTATCAAGTGTTGGGAATTATGTAAAGAAAACAACTGTTACATCTTTTTAGTAATCATGGCCTATGAGTAAAGATTTTACTTTTTCTTCCTTCTTCCATTTAGCAATTATTATACAAACAAAAGCCCCACAGAAGGAGATCTTCACTTAGAAACACGAGAAGTATATTCTATTGATCCGTACAACCCAGCAAGTTAACCAGAAAATAAAAGGTATTTAATTAAAATGTTTTAATTAATTTCTATGTCAAAATGTTATTCAAATTCTACTCATCAATAAGCACAGTGTTAAGTATTTATTCTATTGCAGTTTTTAAATCTTGCATAGAAATTAACATAATTAGACCATGTTGCCAATTCATCTTCCTGTTATTTTTTGTTCATCTATCAATTCAACAAATACTTAAATAGCAAAGTGATTCAGAATACTGTAAATAAGAAGATGGTAAGTATTATGAACACAAATAAAGCAGGAAAAGGGGAGAGGGAGGGCAGGGTAGTCGGAAGGGAAGACTTCACTTAAGAAAATGGCATTTGAGTGAAGATTGGGGTGAAGTTAAGAGCCAGCCATGTGGGGGAAGCACATTGCAGGGAGAAAGGACAGTAAGTGCAAAGATCATAAGGTGTTGTGTGCCCGCAGTGGCCATATGGTTTACTATGGATAGACCAAGGGAGAAAGTGGCAGAGATTAAATCAGAGAGAGAAAGGGAGGAGGTAAGGGATGATCCATCAGTATGCAAGGTCCGTGGTCGGCAAACTGCGGTTCAAGAGCCACATGTGGCTCTTGAGCCCCTTGAGTGTGACTCTTAGGCCAGCTTAGGAGTACCCTAATTAAGTTAATAGCAATGTACCTACCTATATTAAGTTTTAAAAATTTGGCTCTCAAAAGAAATTTCAAACATTGTACTGTTGAAATTTCAAACATTGTATTTGGCTCTGTTGACTAATGAGTTTGCTGACCACTGTGCTAGGTCTTAGAACAGACTTGGTGTTTATTCTGAGCTGGAAACCATTGGAATGGTTAAGTGGAAAAGCTAATGGTCACCTTAACTGCTATGTTAAGAACAGAGTGTAAGAAGCCAAGGGCGGGAAAAGGGGGAATCACTGAGGACTCTATCACAATTATCCAGGCTTAAGCTGTGAGTGGCTACACCAAGCTGGTGGGAAGAGGCGGGTTCTGCACACGTTTTTAGCACCGTGATCGGAGGATTTGCTGACAGTTTGAACTTAGGTTTGGGTCATTAATGGGCAAGGGTAGAATTCGAGCTGACTTCAAACAGCTTTATCCCACACAATCTATAAAATAAAAATACCACTTCTGATCTCTTGGAACTTATATAGTAAAATAAAAAAATAACACACACATAAGAATATATACCATAAGCAAGATACAGAAAAACTGCTGTGGCAGTGGAGCAAGAAATGTTTATATGCTGCTGGTGAGTCAGAAGAAGGTGATCGAGGAAAACGGGGGGGGGGGGGGGGGGGGGGCGGATGCCAGAGGGACCTCTAAATCTAAACCTGTGGCGATCCACAGTGAACCTAGTACATCAGCAAGTGTTCAATGCGTGTGTGAATGAATGAGGATGAAACCATGGCTTGATGTTCTATTGGTTCTAGCGCTTACAATTGGTCTATACAAAGAATGCTAACATTCCATTATTTAAGCTTTGGTTCATACCAATGCTCTCCATGCTGCCTCCTCACCAGGAATTCTTCTTGCTTGGAATCCCGATGAACATGGGTTGGAAAGAAACCATCTATCAGCAAGCCTCTTTGCATGGGCACCACCTCACTGAAATGATCTCTTAAGCTGTAGCTTCCTATTTGCACTTATTCTCAAGCGGCACAAGGAGCGCTCGCCTGATGAGAAAGACGGGAGCCCAGTTTCATCACCTCCTGCTCTTCAAGGACTTTCTGAAGCCTCACCTGGGATGTGCCTGGAACCAGGCTTTGGCTACAAGCAATTACATAGCTCTGAGGAGTCACCTTTTCTAAGAAGGCACTGAAATGAACTGTCTTTATATGCAGACTCTTCCTTTTTTATAATCAGCATACTTACTGTTACCACATACTTTTGGTGATAGTGCAGTTTTAATTAAACAAAGTATGAAGCATTGTCTGTGGTTACAATTGCATAACTTTGTTGGGAAGTCTGATTTTACTGTAATAGTAGTCTCCTCCTCAGGTACGATTAAACATTTCACTTCTTTTTTCACTTGGCTTGAATTTTTCTCACAACATATTGCCTTTGGTTATTGGTTGTTGTTTTTTTTTTTTGGCAGAATTTATTGGTTTATTTGCCTTTCCTAAATCACTCGATAATTCTAATTTGCACACTTTTTTTTTTAAGTTAAGAGAGTCAAGTTTTAATTGTAACGTTTTGGTGTACAATTTATACTTTGGGTGTTTCCTTGGCAGTTTTGTCAGAAGCTCTGGTTGCTTGTAAAATGTCATTTAATAATATGTACATTTGTTATTAGAATAAATTTTATCTTTAAGAAATGTGCCTTATATGGTATTTTTCTGGATTCAATGAACTCCTGAATACAAACCTAGGGTTTTAGAGTTTGTGATTTAACATGTATTCATTCTAGATACCACTACTTCAGGGGGGGGCTTTTTTGGCCAAAGTCTTAAATCACAATCTTATTTCCTCATCCTCAAGAATTTCTCTTACATAGAAAATAGGAAAGATGCAGAGGAAATGGTTTGTTGGTTTTGGCTGACTCACCTCTTCAGGCCACCATTTTGCCAACTTGGAGTAACAGAATTCCCCGAAGCCTTTCCAGAGTCAGCATGCCCCAGAACATGCTCAGGACTACTGAGAACCTCTGTTTCTGCCCCTCTCTTCTTGTAAATCCTCATACAGAACCCCAACTCCATTACCGTCTTAGCCCTGTCATGCTGGACCTCATCCCCAGCCTGGAACTGTCAGAGGCCACCAGCTGCTGGAAAGCCAGAGAGGGAGAACTGAAGTCTGCTTCTTGCTGCTTTAGAGCCATTCAACTCTGAAGGAAGGAGCCTCGTTTTATGGTTGAAGCAAAGGAGGCCCAGGGAGGACCTGCCTAAGGCCATGCAGAGCAGAGAATACAACACAACTCCTAGCCGGCGAGGGCCAGCTGGTCCAGGACCTGGCATCACTCAGACATCCCCTTTCCAGAAGATCTGCTGACTTCTTGACAGTAGAATTAGTTGTCATCGTCATCATCATCATCACCATCATCATCATCATCATCATCATCATCATCATTATCTTCATGTACTAATAGGTCTTTATGCCAACTACTTACAGAGGTATTTCAGCCAGTCCTCAAAACAACTCTAGGGGGTATTATTTTCATTCCACAGATGAGGAAACTGAGGCTTAAAGAAGTCAAGTACCTTGGCAAAAGAAGGAAGTTGTATCTGAAATCAGGTTGGAGCCTGCATTTCAACTCACTCCTAACCACTGTGCTCTCCTGCACACAGCCAGCTCTCTGGAGGTATTTGTAGAGTGATTATGCCTGGAACAAAGCAAAAGGAAATGTTGCACAGAAATTAAAACAAACATTGTCCATATTAAAGAAAAGTCATTTCTTCTTTTAGCCACAATTGTGCTAGCAATTCTATTGCTTATTTTCCTTGAGGGCATTTATCTTCTGGACAAAATCATAGGTTGAAAAAGATCTGTTTTGTTTTTGGTTAATACCAATGGTTCTATTAGTACATCTCTGAATAAACAGCTTAATTTTTAAGTTAAAAAAAAAAAAGAATTTTTCTTCCATTACTATCAGCTTCCTTCAGCACATCATCAGCCCTCTTCTCTCTGGCCACTCTCTAAATCCAGCTGTTGATTTTCTCTGCTCCAGTATTTAATCTATTGAGAAAATAAAACCCTGCTTACTGGCTACCAATAATTACTCTCAGATTATACATGCTATTTGGCATGTTTTTTTAAAATTGTGGTAAAAAATATTATAACATAAAAATTTTCATCGGAATCCCCTTTTTTAAGTGTACAGTTCAGAAGTGTTAAGTATGTTGACATTGTTGTGCAATTGATCTCTAGAACTTTGCTGTGCTATAAAAATTAAATGTTACTTCCTTTAAACAAAAACTCTACTTTCCCCCTGTCCTCCAGTTCCTGGCAACTACCATTTACTTTGTGTTCCCGTGAATTTAACTAATTTAGGTACCTCATATAGGGGGAACTATACAGTATTTTCCTTGTGTGACACATGTATTTCACTCAGCATGTTGTGCTCCAGGTTCATCCCTGTTGTAACATGTGCCAGAATGTACTTTCTTCTTCAGGCTAGATAAATCATTGCATGTGTATGCATTTTGTTTCTCCATTTATTTGTGTATGCATGTGTATGCATACCATTGCATGTGTATGCATTTTGTTTCTCCATTTATTTGTCAATGAACATTTGGCTTGTTGTGACAACAAGCCAAATGTTCATTGACAAATAACACTGCTGGTAGAAATAACACTGCTTAAAACACAGGTGTGCAGCGAATACCTTCAGAAGACATTGCTTTCAAATCGGTTGGATATATAGCCAGAGGTGAGATGTTGTTCAACATATATTATTTATTCAGAGTGCCATTTTCATTTCCCCACACTATCTGTTCATACACTTCAGACCATCTACTCTCTTCTACCATCACTTCTATTATCCATCTTTCACTTAGCGGATGAAAACATCACAGGGTATCTCTTCAATTTCCTCTCCCTCCACCTCTAAGCTTATCTATATCCATCCATTCCACTGACCGCTTTCACAGACTGCACTGTTTCCCCCCTCCCTGTTTCTTCCAGGACATGGCTCCATCAGTTATTCCCACCTGCCAACCTGATTAAACTAGAACCCATTCATCTCCAAGTCACAAAAACCTTATCTCACACTGGCTTAGACCAACATTTTATTGCATCACATGACAGAAAAGATCGAGGGTACTGCTGGCTTCAGTTAAAACAGGAAAACATTCATATCACATCCTCTTCCACCCTCTGGTTTTGCTTTTCCATGCTGGTCTCACTCCCTAAAAACTGTGTTTGGCCTTGTCAGGAAAACTATTTGCTGAGAAGGTCAAACACACACTTTGTCAGCTTAGCATTCTAGCACAGAGAGCTTCTCTCTAATAACTTCAAAAGTCCCTTCATTAGCTCTAATTTGTCCACAAAAAAAAAAAAAGTCACATGTCTCCAACTGAACCACTTCCTAGGGCCAGGACAGTGAACTAGCAGATGGCGAGGCCTGAGCTGCCTGCCCACAGGTGGAGCTGGGGTAGGATTGATGGACCCTTCTCTTTACAACTGCTTTACCAAAGAAAATAGTTAACCATAGCTCCCTCAATCACTTCACTCACTCATTCATCAAATAATCATGAACATCCTTTGGCATGCTAAGGAATGTTTTAGGTCATGGGATATAGCAGCGATAAAATGACCATCCCTATGTAGCCTTCATTCTACCGAGAAAAGAGACAATAAGCAGATTTCCAAATAGTAATAAAACCAAACAAAAGTACAATATTTTAAATGATCTAAATCAGTGAAAGAGGAAAGAAAGTTCAATGGACAGGCCAATGAAGGCTTCCTTAAAGGTCACACTTGAGCTAAAGATTGAGGGAGGTAACCAAACAGACAGATATCTAGTCAGAAAGTATTCCAAGCAAAAGGACCATTAGGAGGAAAACAAAGGACTGTGCGTGCTGTTTTAGAGAAATGACATATCTGCATGCTTAAGGTAAGCTCTGTTAGAAAGGGGGAAGCAGTGGTAAGAAGAGAGAGGAGAATTCCTGGAGTGATGGTTTTTGAAACAGTGAGAGCGGATGATCTTTGCTTCTATAGAGGTGAGCCTTAGACAACGGGGTGAACAGGATAACCATGCTAATAGGAGAGAAGAAAGCTACATAGGCCAGATACAGGCCTTGGGGGGAAGTGATGAGAGAAGTTTGCAGAAATTCTCTTGGATTGCTTCTGTTTTTCGCAGAAGAAAAGCAGCAAACGTATGAACAAGAGATTGAGAATGATATAGGAGATGTCTCCATTCAGTGTCAATATGAAAAATATGAAATAGCTACTTGGGAGTATGACAAATGGAATAGGCAAATATAATAGGGATACCTAACAGCATGACAGTGGTCCATTTGAAAGAAGCCATCTTTAGAGTAAGTGTAGGTATCCTGGATACAGGTTTTTCTCTTTGCCTGTTTGGTAAAACCTATGAATCCTTTCTCAAATTATTTTTTTTAACTAAAGGTCCAGTGCATGACATTTTTGCACTGGGGTGGGGGGAAGAAGGTCCTTAGCCTGGCCTGTGCCCTCCTGTAGTCAGACCCCCTCAGGAGATGTCCACCTGCTGGCTTAGCTGAGAGCAGGCCTAAGCTGAAAGGCGGACATCCCCCAAGGGGTCCTTAGTGCAGTGATATACAAAAAAGTGTTAAATGTTTTCTTTTTAAAAGGCCTCTTCTTGGGTCTTTCTGGAAATCTAGCTTCAAAATCAACACCCTACCTATATTGCCAAGCTTCTCCTAGAACATTCCCACATCCCCGGGGACCTCAATATACTCCACCTATCCCATACCCAAGGCTTTCTCATCAAAACAAAACAAAAATATTTTATATAATACTTTTTTTTTTCATCCAGCTACCCTCTCTCCCCTCCATATTAGTTTCTGGTCACTGCTGTCACATGTACCTTGCTGGTTAAAATGACACAGGTTTATTCTTTCACAGTTCTGCGCAGAAGTCCATACAGAGTCTGACAGGACTAAAACCACGGTGTTGCCAGGACTGGTGCCTTCCGCAGGCAGGGAATTCCTGACCTGTCTTTACCAACTTCTGGAGTTGGCTGTCGTTCCTTGATTTTGGCAGCATCTAACCTCTGCTTCAGTCATCACCCTCTTCCAGGCTCCCTTTTCCTCCCTCTAACAAGGACCCCGTGATTACATTACCCAGTCAAATAACCCTGGGCAGAGGTCAGCAAACTCGCTCACAAACGGCATGTGGCTCACGAGCCGCAGTTTGCAGACCACTGACCCAGGGGAATCTCCCATCTCAAGCTCCTCAGTGTGAGCACAGCTATAGAACCTCCCGTCAATCAGGTAACAGATTTTCAGGTTCTGGGAATGAGGACCTGGGCATCTTTGAGGAGCTGTTATTCAGTCTGCCACACACATCCGTTTCTCTCACCCTTGAACTCTTAGCCCCATGCTCCAAATATGTCCCACCCCTGATTTTTTCGTTCCAACAAATGGCAAAACCATTCCTTTAGAATCCTGGGGCGAATTATTTGATTTTGCTTTTCTCACCACTCACTTTCAGAAAGGAAGAAACCAAAGTGCAACGCAAAAGTGGTGTTCATTTCTCCTCCAATAGCGTGTAATTGCCCACTTTATCTAGCCACGGCCACCACCAAAACTACCAAGTCCAGTCTCCCTATTATAGATGAAATTATATATATATAGTTATATATATTTTATTGTTTTTTTTTTTTTTTTTACTAAGAGGAAGAGAGGTGGATAATTAGAAACATCGATGAGCAAGAATCATCAATCAGATGCCTCTTACACACCCCCCACTGGGGATGTGCCCACAACCAAGGTACATGCCCTTGACCGGAATCGAACCTGGGACCCTTCAGTTCGCAGGCTGACGCTCTATCCACTGAGTCAAAGCGGTTTCAGCCGGAATTATATTTTTTAAAAATTCATATCTGATTCAGTCACTCTCTTTAAAAAAAAAAAATCGTGCAGCGGGTTCATATATCTCAATTCCACACAGAGAAATCGGTTCTTCATCGTCCCTGTACCCTGTGCCTGTTGTCTGCATCTGTCCACACACACAGCTGGCATTTAAGGAGCTGACCCACCCACGCCCATTTTTGCAACGGGCACGCGTCAGGCAGGAGCAGGAGGGAGTGGAGCCGGGAGAAACCGCCGCCTGGACTTGCCCACCCAGAGCCACGGAAGTTCTGCTGGACGGCGACCCGGTGTTCACAGGGGACCTGAAGGTGGACTTTGGATGCCAAACTCGCCAGAAACAATGCAAATTGGGAGCGGGCATGGCCGTCCCCGCCCGTTAAGGGGAAGCTGCGGTCAAAAGCTTTTGGTTCCGCAACCCGAGCTGCGCTCCCCAGATCCTGGGCGCGCAGCCTGAACTCCGGTCTCCGGCCTCTGAGCTGCGCTTTCTAGTGACTTGGATTTGCTCCGGCGAAGGAACATCGGTGACAGCTCGGGAGCTCGGGGAAGATGGGAGCCCGAACTCGGAGGAGCAGGGAGCAGCCTCTCCGGCCGCCAGCGCCCGCCCTCTCCCGCTCCGGAGGAGCCCTCCCGGCGGTGCTGGTGCTGCTCGCGCTGCCGGCTGCCTGGGGTGAGATGCGGGCGGGCGGGCGGGCGTGGGGAGCGGCTCCCGCGGGGTCCACGGATCCTGGGGTTTCGTTTTCAGGGGGGCTCATCTTGCGAGAGGGCGATGCCCTCTGTGACCTCAGACCTGCCTGGCCTCGGGCTAGAGCCGGGTTCCCCTGTGCAGGGTCCTACGCGGTCCCCAGCGCAGGGGAGGGAGAGCGCTGACGCGCAGGTGGTGCCGCATAGGTGGCCAGTCGTCCGCTTTTGGCGGGACAGTCCCGACTTTTAACAATTTGTCCCGCGTCCATCGGCGTTTAAAAAAAAAAAAAAATAGAAGTCCCGACTTTCCAAAATTTTTTAAAACGCCGACAAATTGTTGAAAGTCGGGGCTGTTCCGCCAAAAGCGGGACGTCTGGTCACCTTAAGCATGAGGTCCCTGCCCTCCTTGTTAGCCAAGCCTGGCTGGGTGAGAAGGGGCGCGGATTCTGTGCCAGGGAGAGGTCTGGGAATCCCACCAGCCCGGGTTCTACTCCTGGGAACTTCTTAACCGTGAGGGAAGTGACTACCCCAGCCCCGTCCCCTTCCTCTTCTGTGAAAAGGGAACACGCATAGCCCTACCTCGGGGGATTGCTATCTAAATGGCATAAAGCATGCTAGGGGTCCAACCCAGCGCAGGTCACTCAATTTCTGTTCTCCAGCCATTAGCTCTGCACGTTGTTCATGGGGGTGTTGGGATCAGCAGTACTTGGAGGTGCAGTTTTCTGCCCTGCGTCCGGCCAATATTCAGCCCACAGCACCTCCATCATCAACAAGAAGGCACTGAGCGGCTACAGGAGGTCATATTCCTGGCAGGGCACTTAGGGTTAGGAGAGCTAGTGATGCCCCAGGACCCTTAGTGCAGCTGGCCTCCCCTAGAAGGCACCTTGGAAGTGTGGGCCTGTTTTAGCTGTGTGTTTGGGAAAAAATAAGCCCATAGAACTATTATGGACATTTTGAGGTCTTGCCTCCCCTTCCTTCCTTCCTTTCTTGGCTTTAGGTAAACACCTTCAATGAGGGCCCTTCGCTGCTTATTTCTGGCTTTCCCTGAAGACCTTCTAGTGGCTGGGGCCCGTGGGCCACATCTCCGTTGGAGTGACAGTCTTTGGCTCTTCCCTGTTAGTAGACACTTTGCCTTGGTTATTGGGTGGCACCCTCCCCATGGGAAAAGAAAAAACAGGTTTTTAGAAAAGTTGGTGGTCCTGTGTTCCCTCCTTAGAGAAATTGGGTTAATCAGAAAGTAACCTGTTGGGGGAGGAAATGTAATGGAACCTAAGGTTTTCTTTTCAGAAGAGAAGCGTCCCCAGTTAAGTGAAGGCAGCTGTTGTCAGTGTTTAGCTATGCTGTGGACCTCGTGACCACCCGGCTCCCTCCTTACTGGAATGTTGTTATAGCCTCCCCCTGTTAACAACCTCAGACACTATTAACTGCCCCCACATTATTTTACTAAGGTGATCACACCAGCTGTGAAACAGCCTAAACCAGTGGTCTGCAAACTGTGGCTCGGGAGCCACATGTGGCTCTTTGGCCCCTTGAGTGTTTAGCAAAGGCCAGCTTAGCAGTACCCATGTTAAGTTAATAACCATGTACCTACCTATATAGTTTAAGTTTTAGAAATTTGGCTCTCAAAAGAAATTTCAATCGTTGTACCGTTGATATTTGGCTCTGTTGACTAATGAGTTGTAAGCTAAGAAGTGATTTATTTGCCAAAGTAGTTTAGATAGAGACTGTTGATGGGATGCTGAATGTCACAGCACTTTGGAGTTGAAAAGAAGTCTGAGAGAGCCATGCCTCCAAGGTGGATGCATGTTGACCTATGGGTGAGGTTTTATGAAATCTTTCTCATTAGGAGACCCGGCTTCTGGTTTGTCCAGTGTCTGCTACATACCAAATGGCGGTCTTGGATCCAGCAGGTCAATTAACATCCCTAACTTTCAGCGTCCATGACTACAAAATGAGCATATTTGACATGTTGTTATCTGAGAGGGCTCTTGCAAAAATTGCATGAGGTAGTGCATGTGGTAATGTTTTAGAACCTAGAAATCCCTCTGCAGATCTGAGACCTTAACTAGGAAGCCACACAAAACCTCAAAGCCACAGGAGGTCTGAAATGGAGCCATCTCAGCTTCAATGATCAGAAAAGGCTGAGTGGAAGGAGCACAGCTTAAGCAGCACGTAAGGAGGGAATCCAAAAAATCAGCTGTACAGAATGACTCACAGGGATATTTGATTTATATACCAAGGAGCACACTCAGGAACATTACTAGTGTTCAGTAGAGCAGTCTCTGTTGCCCTCTCCTGGCCCTCAGGTCAGCTCTCACTCTTGTCCCCTGCTGTGTGGAGATGCAAGGTCAAAAGGAGGGGCATTCCAGTTTGCTTCTGTGTTTTGTGACATATTTTTGTTTACACACATAGATGTTCAGATGAGAAGGTGTGTATGGTGTCCATTGCCTAGTTTTACCTAATGTAACCTTCACCATTGGACAGGTAACTTCAGAATTGTTTTGCACAGAAACAGTGAGTGAAATAATTCTAATACGGTGAACTCAAGCAAGTAAGGAAATAGCACACCTGACAACACTCCCACACACACAGGCACACAAAACACATATACGAGCTTTTTGTCAGAGAAACACTGTCAGTCTCATCACAACTGACCAAAGGTTGATAAAAGGAAAAATGTAGAAAGTATTAAGCAACTAGGTGATAGATAGTTTTATATCCACCATTACTTAACAGAGAAACTCAGTGTAACTGTATTTTTGTCTCTTTAAATGTTAGTGAATGATCACATTATATTATGATGAGTAAAGCACTTATAATGTTTATTTCATCTCTATTCCATTTCTTTAAAATTCTATTTATATATATAATATACAATGTAAGTATCTAGACTATTTAAGCAAATATGATTAATGGTTAATTGGGCCTCACTGGAATACCCAAAACACTACACCCACTACCACAGACACACCTTTAAAAAATACATCTGATACAGTTACATCAGGTGACTAAATGCTGAGACATACAAGTGTCAATCAATTTCAAAACTTGATGATAAATCTGTAGCTAAAAATTTCCTCAAAAGTTTATAAATTATGCAAAATATTGCTAACTAAGCCATGGGTCAATGAAGAAACCACAATGGTCATTACCAAATATTTTGAGCTGGAAAAATGTATTTGTACACTAGAAACCTATATAATTTTATTAACCAATGACATCCCAGTACATTTAAGAAAGCTAAGTTTAAGAAACCTGAAAATATGGCACATCAAAACTTTGAGAATATAGCTAAGTCTATGCTCAGAATAAAATAATATGAATGCTTATTTCAGAAATTATGTAAAGCTGAAAATAAAAAAAAATCTAAGTTACCATCTTCAGAAACTTATTTTTAAACTCAGCAAATAAGCTCAATACACTTTTTATTTTTTTATTGTCAATGTTTAATTTTTTATCTGAATAATGGTTACATTAACATTATTTAAACTGTGCATGCAATATAAGAATTAAGTAATATTGTCAATATTTAGTTAAATGAGAATATAGTCATGATATGATATATGTAGGATACAAAAAAATATATTCTGTGGTCCCAATCTCCTGCTCAAAGGTCACCTTCTCAGTGAGGATTTCCCTGATAACTATTTAACGTTGCAACTCTGACACTTTCTGTTCCTCACCATACTGCTCTCCTTCTCTCCCCCAGAACATTTATCATCATTCTTCAAAGTTATTGTTTACTTCTTTTTATATTGTCTGTCACTCTTTCATAGAAGACAAACTCCATGAGCTCAAGTTTTTGTATGTCTGAAATGTCTTGTAGATCTGTTTTGATTTTAGCAATATCAGAAGCATCTGGAAATGTCTGGTGTTTGTTAGATGTTAAATACTTTTTGAAGGGAATGTAAATCACTCAGGTGACAAAAGACATGTCAGTGCAAGATCACCAACTGGCAGCTTCTGTCTGTGTTTTCTCTGGACTGCTGAGTTTTCCTCTGTCTTCTAATTTGGAGCTAAATATAGGCTAAAAGGTTGGCTTTCCGGGAACAGTGGGCCTCCTAGCTTTCCTAGAGTGGGAGGAGCTAGGAGGCCCACTGGTTAGTGTGCAAATTTCACTTCATCTTCCAGTCTCAGTTGCAACACCTCTTTTTTTTTTTTTTCTTTCTTTTTTAAAAATATATTTTATTGATCTTTGACAGAGAGGAGAGAGAGGGATAGAGAGTTGGAAACATCGATGAGAGAGACATCGGGGATGTGCCTGCAACCAATGTACATGCCCTTGACCGGAATCAAACCTGGGACCCTTCAGTCCACAGTCCGACGCTCTATCCACTGAGCCAAACAGGCTTAGGCTGCAATGCCTCTTAGAGCATGCTTTCCAAATCTGGATTACTTAGGGTTCATTTCTCAAGCAAGGAAACCCTCGTCTCCATAAGAGTAAAATAATAGCCTCGTTGTTCTTGTTTGAAAGAGCTGTAAATAATTCTTAAATGCAATTCAGTTATCCCTTTCTCTGGACTTTACCTGAAGATCTCAGAGTGAATGTAATGGATTCAGGACCACATGTGACTGAGGTTTTCCATCATACAAGACTGTGTTATTCCAATGATGCCTTTTTCAGCTGGTGCCAGAGAATTTGAGGCCCTGATAACATGTACTGGCAGCACTCATTCCATTATCTCATCCATTTCCAGTATCAAACAAACAGCATCTCTGTGCCAGCCATTTCCTTAAAACTCAGTAGGTCTCAAAGTGGCTTGTGGACTACCTGCCTCAGAATCACCTGGAAACCTGTTTAAATGCAGATTCCTGTCCCCGCCCCTTCTTTCTGAGTCAGAATATTATTTTGTAGGGTCTCAGTGATTCTTTTGCATATTGACCACCACCATTGACAATTTAGTCAGACAGCCAACCATGTTTTCAGTTGTTTAGAATTTTAAACTGATCCTTACATATAGTTTAAACATATGGTCTTTTGCGGGTATAAGACAGACAAGGAAAAGAACTACAAGAACTCATTATTTCTTAAAATTTTTCTACTTTTAGAGGGACCTTTGATAGTCAGGGTATTGCTTCTGGGGAGGCCATTTTTGCAGCCATGGGTACTGCTTCTACACCAATGAGATAAGCATAAGAAATTATGCTTTCTCACCTTTATTGGTGAGAGAGAGAGAGAGAGAGAG